TTACAAAGATCTATTTTTTAAAATATGTTTTTATTGATTTCAGAGAGAGGAAGAGAGAGGGAGAGAGAGATAGAAACATCAATGAGAGAGAGAAACATTGATCGGCTGCCTCCCACATGCCCCCGACTGGGGATGGAGTTGGCAACCTGGGCATGTGCCCTGACCCAGAATCAAACCAGCGACCTCCTGGTGTTTGAGATGATGCTCAACCAACTGAGCGACACTGCCTGTGCTCCTCTCACAATTTTTATTAGTAACCTAAATAAGCACCAAAATTCTTTTTCAATTTTAACATGACAGACTTGTATAAATTGAGTTAGGGCTGTAAACTTCACTTCAGTGAATGATGGGAGCATAAATCATTTACGCTGTATATTTTAAAAAAAAATTATGAAGGATGTGATATTGTTAAAGCAAAAATCTCAAAGTCATTGACCAGAAAGTCAGTATACGGAAACTGTTGCAAATTTGTTATTGTCTCAGTACTGTGTCAGGCACTGGGGAAATTTGTAGATGTCCTTTATCCTAGAAATGGCTGATAGCTAAGCATGCATATTTCTTCTCAGCTGTCCACAGTCATTTCCCACAGGACATGGGAGGCCTGATTGTGTTAGATTTTAAACAGCTGCTCTGATTGCATTTTCAGAAAAAGGAGATTCATAAGAATACTGATATTAAATAGATAGAAGTAGCCACAGAGATAGGCTTGAATAAAAAACATAAACTGCTCAAAAGATCTGACAGACGCTAATGGATGGGTGGATGAAGACCTGGGGAGAAAGGGAAATGGGTTTTCCAGAGGACTTTTTATTTCCTGAAAAATTGGAAATTTTCAGCCTAAGAGTGGAAGAAGCAAAAGGAGTTTTTATGGATCCCTTTTCCTCTTCTAGACCTTTACATCTATGCAGACAGAAAGAGTAAAGGTCTGTGACTTAAGTCATCTGCTCTGAAAAGAAGCCTCTTTCCTGGGTAAAGAGTTTTACCTGGCATTACATCTTCCCTCCAGTACCTTGGACCACTTTGCACTCCACTTGGGAACCATTGATCTAAAGAAATCATAGATTTGGAAGAAAAAAATGGAATTGTTAAGCTTTTGAAATTTCATTTTTATTATCAATGTTTAAAAACATTGTCTTTTTGCTCAGCCGGGCATGGATCAGCGGTTGAGCATCGATCTATGATCCAGGAGATCGCGGTTCGATTCCCGGTCACGACACATGCCTGAGTTGCAGGCTTGATTCCCAGTTGGGGGCATGCAGGAAGCAGCTGATCAATGACTCTCATCATTGATGTTTCTATCTCTCTCTTCCTCTCTCTAAAATCAATAAAGATATATATATTTTTAAAAGTTTAAAAATAAATAAATAAATAAAAACATTGTCTTTTTTATGATCTTTAGCTCTATATACACTATTCTATATAAGATATATGGGGAAAGGACATATTCCTTTTAATTGGATGCTAATCAAAGGAAAAATACATTACTTTTTAAAAGCGTTGGCAAGTAATTACACACACTGACTTGGAAGACTTTTTTAGGGTATCTTCTAAAGTTTTTCTGTCTCACATAAAAAAGGTTATAGTGGTCTCTGGGTTAGTATATAACAAACTTCAAAAATGCCCTGCCCTAAGTGATTAGAAATCTTTATTGCTCTTAAGTTTAGCAGTAGAGTGTGAAGGCAGTGATGCAGATAGATAGCAAGGGTTTGACACTGGCCCACTTTAAACCGTAATACATTTTTTTTTT